CGCCACATGAACAAAGTCTCATAACTATTCAAATCCAAATCGAAACTGCAGCTTTCATTATTGCCTACATTGAGATCAATTTCAACTCCACTTGGCTCGGCAGGATCTGCCACACTAGCATTTGATTCACAAACCACATATTGCTCGTTGTTAGCAGTAATGCCCATTTCCTCCGCATCTTTCAAATATAACATGCGAACTCCACACCTCTTCACTTTGCAACTACTACAATCCAAACATTTTCCACTCTTTGTCCAAGAATTTGAGAAGAAGTCAAATGATGCCTCTACTGCACCAAGATCATCACTGTAGTCTTCATATCTATAGAACACGTGCACGTGATCCAAGATGCTAAAAACTTTAGGAACTTGCACTTCAGGAAAAGGAGTATGAACCACCGACCGCAAATTAGAGGTTTCACCATTTTGTCCTCTTAAACTAAATCTGCACCGGACGTTCAAAGGATGACAGCATTTAGAACAATTGCCCTCGAATGCAGCAACAGCACACGTAACAAATCCTAGGAATGTGGCATTATACCATTGTTGAGGAAGCTTGATACTTATTGAAGATCCTTCTTCTTGGTAGTTGAACCACTTGGGAATCACATTCCAGGACAGCACGAAATAACATCATTACCACAAACTTCTTGCTGTAAAACAAGGACCAAAGTAACGATTAATTATTTCAAGCATGAAACTTAAATGAATTGAATTTTAATTACTAAACTAGAATTAGATAATGTAATACCTGTTTTGACCTAGTTGCCAAGTGCAAAATTCTACTCTGCACTTCAGTCATCAAGTTGTTGCATGCATTGTGATCCAACTTCCAGCAGTCCTTGTCTTCCTCCAAAGAAAGTTGTGTAATTGGAACCAATGTTTTTGACTGAGTCTCTAGAGATGTGCAGCCGGTTACATAAAGAATTTCAATAGATGATGGAAGCTCTGGAAGATAGCGAAGGCTCTTGCAATCGACTATAACCAATTCATACAACTTGCAACAATCTTTTATGGTTGCAGGAACTCTATCAATTTTTGTTCCTTCTATTGTTAGTTCTTCTAATGATGGCAAGAAGAGCAAATCAGGGATCTCTAGTATATTGCAGTTTTTCAAGCATAACCGAGTCAAAGAGTGCAAGACAATAGACAACGGAGGCAGATTCCCGAGTCTTGGACAAGTGGAAAAGCTGAGAACTTCTAGATGTGGATTATAGATGCTGTCTGGAAGAACCTTCAGATTTTCGCAACCATCTAGATGTAAAGAAGAAATACGAATAAGATTTCCAATAGATGAATGTAAGTCTCTAATCCCTGTTCCTGATAAGGAAAGATGAGCTAAATGTTCCATAGGCTTCAAAATATTCGGGAAGTATTCTAACATTGAACAACCGCAGAGATCAAACCATTTAAGAAAACTTAAATTGCAAATGCTTGTTGGGAGACTCTTAAGCCTTTTGCAGTTACATAAGTAAAGTTCTTCCAGATAAGAGAGACACTGAATTGATGAGGGAACCTGTTCTATTGCGGTCCCACTCATATCTAAGAATTTTATATTCATTGGAAGTTCTGGAAACTGGTCAATATATGAACAACCCGATAGCGTAAGAGACTGTAACGAATGCAAGTTGCAAAGGCTGCTCCCAAAGTTTTGCAGATATTCACACCTACTGAGACATATCTTCTCAAGTTTCGTAGCCCGGGAAAAGTCTGGTATATGAGTGAGACGTTTGGACAAACTAAGATCTAAAACTTTTAAGCTTTCAAAATCCTGTAACCAAAACAAAATAGAATGAAGAACCATTTACAGGTAACTATAAATCTAACATACAAACTATATATATATATTTAAATTGAAACACTAGAACTCATGGAATACCTGGACGACAGTTGATAGTTCCTTAAGCTTATTAGAGTACATGTCCAATTCAACAAGTTTTCGTGGTGTGAAGTTTGGTGGTAAAGACTCCAAAGGGCCATTGTCCCAGCGGAGATATCTAAGTTCATCAGGGAGAGACTGGAGACCTTCAGGAAGATATACCTTGCACTCCTTGGGATTATTAAAGTCATATATTTTGAGCAATCTTAAATTATACATTTCTTGGAAAGTTGTAGCCTTCACATTTAGAGGATCTCTAACTTGAAATTTCTAATTGTAGGTGAATCTTACTGTATTATACTTGAAGACATGGTAGGAATCCTGAGCAGACCACAACCTACTACGCTTTCCTGACTGTTTAGGGGATTCTTGAAAAACAATATCCCAAGCCATTTGTTGTACTAAATCATGCATCCCAAATATCACGTCATGTATGATAGTTATGAGACACCTATCAATAAGGGCCCTCACTCCTGTCTCAACAAAAAAACCGCAGCCATCTAATATTCTTTCTGCATAATCCCTTGGTTTACCTTTAAAAAAGCATGCAATGTCAAGAAATATATCCTTCTCATTTGGATCTAGCCCGTCATAACTTACTCTCAACACGTTTTGAACTTTGTTGTCGGGAAACACTTTCAGTTTATTCAATTCACTTTCCCATTCTTTAGTGCTCTTGGAATATAGGTGGCTACCCAATATTTTCAGAGCCAGTGGAAGGCCTTGAGCATAATTGATTGCCCTTTCTGCTAGCTGATAGGCCACGACGATCTGACAGAGGCCTTAAACCAAATCCCAAATATTTGGGATGAGCTGGGACGCATAGGACCGTTGCATGCATGCAGACGAGGCCATTAAACAGATGAAGAACAATGCAGAAATGGACTTGGAATGGGTCACGACGGTTGAGAGTACTTGGAATGGGTCACGATGGTTGAGAGTTTTACGTGCAAAAGGATCTGTAGTTGCGAGTTTTACGTCATTTTTTATTTCCGTTTGTTTGCTCTTTGTTTTACGTGTATACGCATGTTCTGTTTACGTGTGTTGAGTTCCATTTAATTAGCTGTTAGTTGTCCTTTTCTTTCGGCTCAGTTGTACGTGGCTTTGCTTATTTAAGCAGCCAATGTTTTAGTTAATGAATATTATTCAAGTGTTTGCATTCACAAGTGTGGTACGTTCTCACCCGAAGAGGACAATTTGTCTTAGTGTTTATATTTTCTGTGTTGGGACTTATCATTAGTATCAGAGCAAAGGTACTAATGGGTACTAACAAAGAACGTATTGAGCACTTGGAATCTGGACTCGGTGTAGTTCACGAAGGACTTCAGCGAATGGAGGAAGCTATCAATCGACTTTCGAGTATATTGACCGCAAACCAGGAGAATCCTACCCAGGAGAATCCTAACCACGACAACCATCACCCAGCAGGCAACAATGGGGGCAGGCAGATCATTTCTTCCAAAACGGCGAGGCTGGAATTCCCACGATTTTCAGGAGATGATCCAACCGAATGGTTCAACCGTGTGGAACAATTCTTTGAATACCAGGGCACGACAGAAAACCAAAAGGTTCCCATGGCTGCTTATCACCTTGAAGGGGAGGCCAATCAGTGGTGGCAGTGTCTTCGTAAGACGTTACCGGAAGAAGGACAGGTGATTTTATGGGACAAATTCCAAGAGGAATTATGGGCCCGCTTCGGACCATCAGGCTGTGAAGACTTTGATGAAGCTCTCTCACGAATCAAGCAACTAGGGACGTTGAGAGACTATCAACGTGAATTCGAGAAGCTCGGAAACAAAGTAAGTGGATGGACGCAGAAGGCGTTGGTGGGGACGTTCATAGGCGGCTTAAAGGCTGAGATTTCTGATGGAATTCGGATGTTTAAACCGAACTCCCTCAAGGAGGCCATCAATTTAGCACGAATGCGAGACGAGCAGCTTGCACGACAGCGGCAGTTCATGCGACCACCACCGATGAGAGCTCCTCTAGCTCTTCCATAACCCACCCGTGTAGCTCCTACTACGCCGGCGGCTCCAGTCAGATGTTTATCCTGGGAGGAGATGCAGAGGAAACGAGCGCAAGGCCTTTGCTTTAACTGCAATGAACGATTTACGGCTGGGCATCGATGCCAAAAACCACAGCTCTTACTTTTGGAGGGCTACGCAGGTGCCGGTAATATGGTCTGTGAGGATGTCACTGATCAACAAACAGGAGAAATTGATCTTGGGGACGTTACAGGAGAGGTACAAGAACCGGAACTGGAGCCTGAAATCACGATACATGCGTTGACGGGATGGACTGCTCCGAGAACAATGAGAATGACAACAACGATGGGTTCCCTCAAAGTAGTGGTGCTAATCGATAGTGGATCAACACACAACTTCATCAGTGATCGTCTGGCAAGCATGTTGCGATTACCAGTGGTACCGATGGAAACGTTTACTGTTCGGGTTGCAAATGGCGAGCGTTTAAAGTGTCGAGGACGTTACGATAAGGTACGGGTAGAATTACAAGGCACCGAATTTTACCTTACCCTTTTCTCTCTGCCCTTATCAGGTCTTGATCTTGTCCTGGGCGTTCAATGGCTTGAAATGCTGGGATCCGTGGTTTGTAATTGGAAACAGTTGACCATGGATTTTATCTGGGAAAATCAAGATCGTAGGCTGCAAGGAATGGACGTGCATACCATTCAGGCAGTTCCCCCAAAGGAAATATCGAAGGAGTTTCGCCGTGGGCATGCGCTATTTGCTGTGTGTTTCCAGCCAACCATGGAAACCGCACCACCTGATGCTCCAACTCAAGATAAAAAACAGAGCATACAATGGTTGCTGAAGGAATATGCGGACGTGTTCCAGGAGCCATCAAGATTACCACCTGCACGTGAAGTTGATCATTGTATTACACTAAGAGAAGGAACCGAGCCAATTAACGTACGCCCGTACAGGTATGCTCACTTCCAAAAAGCTGAAATCAAGAAACAGGTTCAAGAAATGCTAGATTCGGGACTCATCCGTCCTAGCACCAGTCCCTTCTCGTCGCCGGTGCTACTAGTGAAGAAGAAAGATGGCAGCTGGCGATTTTGTACAGATTACCGTTCGCTTAACGTCGCTACCATCAAAGATCATTTTCCCATTCCGACAGTTGACGAGATGTTGGAAGAATTATATGGCGCAGCTTACTTCACCAAATTGGATCTAAGAGCCGGCTATCATCAAGTAAGAGTAAACCCTTCCGATGTTATTAAGACGGCTTTCCGTACTCATAACGGCCATTACGAATATCTTGTAATGCCTTTTGGCCTTTGTAACGCACCCTCGACATTCCAGGCCATCATGAACTCAATATTTCAGCCTTACCTTCGAAAGTTTATTTTGGTTTTTTTTGATGATATTTTGGTATATAGTCCCACTTGGGAGGTGCATATGGTGCATGTTAGACAAACATTGGAGACTTTGCAACAGCACCAATTCTTTGCCAAGGCAGGCAAGTGCGTGTTTGGCCAACAGGAACTGGAATACTTGGGGCACATTGTCACACATCGGGGAGTGAAGGTTGATGATAGTAAAATTGAAGCCATGGTCGTATGGCCACCCCCCACTAACATTTCTGAGTTACGTGGTTTTTTAGGCTTAACAGGGTATTACAAAAAGTTTGTTCAAAACTATGGCATCATAGCGCGACCCCTGACCAATCTGCTCAAGAAGGGAAAATTCGGCTGGGATGAAGAAGCCAACACAGCTTTTCTGGCTCTCAAACAAGCAAACAACTACACCGACGTTGGCTATGCCTAATTTCAATAACTCTTTTACCATTGAAACCGATGCATCTGGAGATGGAATTGGCGCAGTGTTATCACAGCAAGGCAAGCCTATAGCATTCATGAGTCGAGCATTGGGGGTTACAAAAAAATCTTGGTCCACTTACGCCAAGGAGATGCTTGCCATTGTGGAG